CCCCCCCTAAAATATATTCCTGGGTGCGCCCCTGTGCGGCATAATAAGAAAAAGCGCTGAAAACTTCATCAAATTCGATGAATTAGATATAATAATATATAGTGAATAACTAGTAAAAGAAATGTTTTTGCCAAGTTATATTTTGGGAATCCCTTTACATGCTCAAACATTTTTGAATTAAAAAATTAATTTTAATGATCGATTCCAAGAATTCTGACTTCTGAGACTTGTTCCATTTTTTGGCTTTCATTTCTAATTAACTGTACGTGTTATACAAAAAATCAAAAAAAATAAAACTGGTTTTCTCTGAACTAAAACCAACCAGGCAACCAGGATTTTTTCAAATTGCCACTTTCGAATAATTCGTTTTGCAAAAAACGATATTTAATCGAACACCCTATTATGTATGCTCGTACTCATACTACATCTGTTGACTTCTGTGCTAACATTTTCTCCTACTTTTGTGTTTATTTACAGTTTTACCCAAATTCGATCCGTTCATCAGCGGCATTGTACATCCGTACCGATATGGGGATTTTCTGGCAGTTAACTGCAGTTCAGAGTGGTCAAATCCCGCCGCAACACTTACGTGGTACATCAACAACAAAACGGTATGTACTGATATATGTATGTATGTACATATATACATTTACTTACACGTACACGCAAAATTTATTTATTTGCATAAATATTTATTTATGACGAGAAACGTGCACGCATTTCAGAATGATGCATATGCAGCTTAACAAACTCACACACACATATTCATTAATACCTTTACACTGTGCTAAATATATTTAAACCACACCAACTCAATGCTGCATTTATTGACACAGACTACCGCCCTAAATGCTTTACAAGCTAGCCAAAAGCCCCTGAGTTTGAGCGTGATTCGGTTTCGGCAAATAGAATTGCATGGCATGGCATGGTGTTGGGGAGCGAAGAGCGTGCAGTCGCGTCATATTCGATGCCTTATCTTTGGTCTTTTTTTAACAGATACCTCTATGCATTTAACAGCAATATTTTTAAAAGCTTTCAGTAAGTCGTTTTGCATACACTCAAGCCCATATGATACGTACGTATTAGTATTTACACCCTTTCTCTAACTAAATTCAATTTAAAATTTTCAATGTATTATTCTCCCATCAAATCAGCTTAAATTTTTCAGCATATTTCACGAATTTTTCGGCTTAATTAAGTAACAGATAATTAAAATTTTCAACGCAAAAAGCTTTGTAAAAACTCAAATTCGCAGAAAAACTGTACACAAATTTGCAAAATTATATTCAATACCTTCAGTAAAATTGGTCATTTGGCGGTATTCGTACGGATTACATTTACCATGCATCATCATAAAAAATTTGCGGGTTTTCCACAGAAATTATAGATGTATCACATTTTAAGACTTGCGCCAAAATAATTAGGAAAAATGTTAAGCTCACGTAGATCTTTGATTACGTTGATACAATTTTTAAAAATTTGTATGCAGACCTTTTAGACTTAAACTCTTCTATTATCTGAGGAGATTTTTTTAGAAAAAATATTTTTAAAAACGAATGGTAAAAAAAGAAATTTTTAAGCAAAAAACCGACTTCAATTCTCATAAAAAAAATTTAAGACTACCGTCAATTTCTTCTAGAGCCAATTATAGAATTTTAACCAGATTAGAGTGTATGGGATCACCTGTGAGGTAACACATTTCCTTTAAAAAAATAATTATAGAAATCGGTTAACATGGCCCAAGTTATGCAGTAACATACAAAAATTAAAATAAACAAGTAAGAAAGTCTAAGTTCGGGCGGAGCCGAACATTAAATACCCGGCGCAAGTATTAAATATATGATTTTCACCTTTCCGAAACCTTCCGCTAGATGGTAAGCCGAGGTGTATCAATTTTGAGTAAATTAGCGTCCTTCAATTTCGAAATATTGAAGTTTCAAGCATTTCTTAAATTTACCGTTATGTGAGAATCGGCCGTTATTTTAGTCCGATTTCAATAATTTTCAACGTTTTGCTTACACGTGGCAAGCACAATAACCACACCGAGTTTGGTACAAATTGGTAGAACGGTTACCGATATACTTATATGTGATCATAAGTGGGCGGTGCCACGCCCATTTTCCAAAATTTTACCATAAACGTATTTCTTGGTAAAGAATTGTTGCAATCATCAATTTTGAATTTGCTTTAATATTTACTGATTTATCAAAGATTTTGTATTTCTCTAAATTACCGTTATATGGGATATGGGCGTGGTTATTCTCCGCTTTTTAAAATTTTCGGCCATTTAGTATGCTGTATCAAGGCCAACAACTGTGCCAAGTTTGGAAGAAATTGGTGCAGCGGTTACCAAGATATACACATGTAACCATAAGTGGGCGTGGCTACGCCCATTTGCCAAAATTTTTGTAATATTCTTATTTTTGATCTAAAAATTGTTGTAATTATCAATTAGAGTGAATAATCT